AAAATTTTTTGGAAATTTTGCGTTTTTTACGATTTAATCACAAAAACCATAATTTTATGGTTTTTACCATGATAATCAAATTTGTGCAAATTTTCACTATCATTTTCGTAATCAGCGCACAAAAATACGTGGATATACATAGTTTTAAAAAGATTGGAGGTTTGGGCTAATCGGAACTTCACCCGAAATTTTCAGCTATCCTCTTCTGGTTGTTTTGGTACGTTGAAAAATCCGACCTAGACTGGGGTGCGTCCGCAACTTGGGAACAATTGATTTTCGTTTTTTATGGTCTGTAATGATTTAAAAATTTTTTTTCGAGTTTTTAAATCACCGTCTACTGGTCACTTTAACACTTTTTAAGTTTGAAAAACGTTAAGGGTTAAAAATGTTATTTTTTGAGAAGCAGATCCACTTGTAGCGCTTAAAAATTAAATAAAATTAAATTTAAATAAAATTTAATTTAATTAAAATAAAAAAAAATTAAATTAAAAGAAAAATAAATTAAATAAAAAAAATTAAATTAAAATTATATTTAAAAATAAAAAAATTTAATAAAATTAAATTAAATTTTCACGATTTCATTTTAACAAAACCACTAATGTTTTTAAATAAAACAATTTATCTCAAAGTAGACAATTAAAACTGGAAATTACAATTACTCAGTTTTTGAATTATCGACTTAAAATTTTGCACACATATTTCTGAAACTATAAACTTTAAAAAAATGAAAAAAATAGTCTTTTTGACAGTTACAACTGGGGTTGCCCCCTTAATACTTATATACGGGGTAAAATTCTAGTAGTGTACTAAGTGAAAAAAAAGTTGATCGGATCGGGCTGTAACTTGCACATAGTTTATCCCTAAGGGTGAGTACTTTAACCACCAAGTATTGTAAGGTTTTTTCAAAAACTGAAGAGGGAGGGGATTGAATTTTTATGAAAAATTTAAACATTGAATTTTTGAATACTTGTAACTTTTAAACAGAAAGATGAAAAAAATTGACCTATATGTTTTCGAAAGGTTTATAAAAAATCCTCTAATCCAAAATAGTTCATTTAGGGCTCGCTGGATGTGGAATTACGTCATCTTTCAATTGGTAGCTTCGAATTAATAACTTCGCAATAACTTTATTTATTTGTAAAATTTTTAATTGTTTATTAACATTAATTAAGTAATTAATTAATATCTCGAAAATAACAAAAAAGGACATCTTAATTTTTTTGTGGTGATAATACACATTTTTAACTTTCAAAAAAAAATAATTAAATAAAAAAAAACGAACTTAAAAAAAAACTCAAAAAAATTTTTGATTTTCAAAAAAATTTTTGATTTTCAAAAAAAGGGTCAAATTTTGAATTTTTTGAAAAAATTTTTGCACCATTCGAAAGAGCAGGAAAAAACCTTTCGAAAACATATAGGTCAAATTTTTTTTATCTTTCTGTCTAAAAGTTGTAAGTCTTCAAAAATGCACTGTTTAAATTTTTCAAAAAAATTCAACCCTCTCCCACTCCGACAGTTTTTGAATAAAACTGAACAATACTTGGTGGTTAAAGTACTCACCCTTAGGGCTAAACTATGTACAAGTTACAACCCGATCCGATCAACTTTTTTAGGGTTCCGTACTCGGTTCGGAACCCTATTAATATCGGTTTTTTTGAAATCGTGTACCCCCCCCCCCCTAGCGGCCACATAAATTTATCTGGAGGGCTGAAAATTAGTACACATATGTATTTTCGCGTGTAGATTACAGGAAAATTATAGCGAACTTGATTGGAATTGATTAACATAGCGTTGTCAAGGAAAAACCATGAATTTTTACGAAAAATGCCTAAAAATGACTATGTACCCCCCCCCCCTAGCGGCCACATCTTTTGACATAAAGAGCTCAAATTTGACACACTTACGTATTTTTACGTGAAAATTACAGGAAAATTATAGCGAACTTGATTCGGATCAATTTACATAGCGTTGTCAAGGAAAAATCAAAAATTTCGAAAAAAATAATTTATTCTCCCTAGCGCACACAATATTCAACCCAGACAGATCATATTTAGTATACAAATGTATTTTTACGGGAAAAATACAGGGGAAAAAAAGCGGTCACGATTAGAGTTGATGATTAACTTTTTATCAAGTTTTTCAAGAAAAAATGACAATTTTAGGAAAAAAATGTATTTTTCCACCAAAAACGAACAAAATTTTATTTAAAGGAAATTAAATTTATATATTTTAACGTATTTTTATGTGTAGATTACAAAAAAAATATAGCGAGCATGATTGGAGTTGATTATTATAGCGTTGTCAAGGAAAAACCATGAATTTTTACGAAAAATACCTAAAAATGAGTATGTACCCCCCCCTAGCGGCCACATCTTTTGACATAAAGAGCTCAAATTTGACACACTTACGTATTTTTACGTGAAAATTACAGGAAAATTATAGCGAACTTGATTCGGATTAATTTACATAGCGTTGTCAAGGAAAAATCAAAAATTTCGAAAAAAATGATTTATTCTCCCTAGCGCACACAATATTCAATCCAGACTGTTCATACTTGCTGTAAAACTCAATTTTTGCGTGAAAAATACAGGGAAAAAATGTAAGCGCGATTGGAGTTGATGATCAATTTTTATCAAATTTTTGAAGAAAAATGATAAATTTCAGAAAAAATGTATTTTTCCGCAAAAAACGAAAAAAGTTTTTCTACAGTGATTCAAATTTATATATTTTGACGTATTTTTACGTGTAGATTACAAAAAAAATATAGCGAGGATGATTGGAGTTGATTTTTCTGGAATTAATAAACAAATTTTATTTTTTAGATAACTTTCGATTTTTCCTTGACAAGCAGCTACTAGCCTTATATCAATATCTTAAGTTTTATCTCTTTTTGACTTAGAAAGATAAAATTTAATATTCAATATATTTTTAAAATGTAAATACAATAAAAATATTGCGAGTTGAAATAAAATTATGTTTCTTATATTTTTTTAGTAAAATATTTTTTAAAAAATAAAATCGGACAAGTGCGAGTTACACTCGCACTGAAATCGAGGGTTCCGTACTCGAAGCGAACTTATTTGGTATAAAAACAAATGTTTAAAAAATATGTGTTGTATGACAACTAATATAAGTGATACGAAGAGGAACAATTTTCTTGAATTTTACAAAATTGTTCCTTTTTGTATCACTTATATTAGTTGTCATACAACACATATTTTTTAAACATTTGTTTTTATACCAAATAAGTTCGCTTCGAGTACGGAACCCTCGATTTCAGTGCGAGTGTAACTCGCACTTGTCCGATTTTTTTTTATTTAGTACGCTACAGGAATTTCACCACATATATATTGTTTTGTAGTGAGTATGAACACTTTCCGATTAAAACTTTTTTTTTATTTTTTGTTTTATTCATTTAAACCTTTTGTATCATTTGCGAGTAAAGAGACATCTGTAATGTGAGTTTAATTTGATACTTAGCAGACATTGTCGTTATTATTAGTATATTTGGGTAATTTGATTATTATAGTATCACAGTTAAAGATTATTTTGTGAAAATTTGAGCAAAAAATATTTAAAAAAAACTAATTGGATCGCAATTATCGAAATCTCCTCCAAAAATGCTGTCCTGCGGTAAACACTACAGCTATTCAGTGGATCATCTAAACTCAAAAAACCAAAATATTTTTGTTAGTTGATAACTCAAGGTAACAACGTCGAGTTTTATTTATTTTTATCGATGTTAGAATTTTTTGTCAAAAAATCGATTTTTGTTAAAAAAAAAAAAAGTCAAATTTGTTATTGTATAATTTATAATAATTATTAAAAAAAAAGAAAAACTTGTTGTAACCTCAGGATTTATATGTAGAAAGACTCAACCGAATTTTAATAGAATAGGTGCAATAGATATTTAGTTAGAGTATTCAGCGTCTGAAAAAATGCAAAGTGGGAGAGAATCACTTTAATGTTTTGTACACTAGAAATTACCAAGTGTTTTTTCAGAGCACTGGATCTTAAAATTCAATATCTCCGTTAGTTTTTCTACAATTTGCTTCAAATTTTCACACAATAATCTTTTAGATCTTTCAGATATAAAAATAAAATAAAATTCAAAATACATTAAAATACCCTACCCTTCACCGTTAAGGGGTTATACCTAGTCACGATTTTCAAAAATCGAAATTTTTTTGCAGTTTCTTAAAGTATATATATATATTTGACCGTTGTGAAAAAATTTTTTATTAATATTCGAGGAACATTTTCGAAGTTACAGACATAATTAGCAAGGAGGCGCCGTGCGGTGTAGAGCAGGTGAAGCATCGGTAACTCCTATAGAAATCTGATTTTTTTGTCCTGTATATTATATATTCTACCTTACAATTTTCATATAACTGAATATATATTCAAGAGTCATTCGTTCCCTTACCTTACAATATCACATATTTATTATATCACACATTTATTACACACTCAATGTAAACTGTTTGTGAAACTTTAAACTCGTTTTTTAAGTCGGTGACCACAATATCTGAAAAACCGCTGAACCGATTTGGCTCAAATTTTAACATAAGCTCAACAACTACATTTTGTTGTCGTTGATCGAAGGTTTTTTAAATAAAATTAAAATTTTTTTAATTCCTTCGATCAACGACAACATTTTCTCATAAACTAACAGAATCTATTTTATTTTTTGAGTTCAGATGACTCTCTCAGAAGTTATGCTGGTCACCGCGGGACACATTTTTTGAGGACCCTTGGGAGATTGCATGCAAAGGACAGAAAAATTAATATTTTTATGAATAAAATATTTTTTTAAATACACTAAAAGGTGTATAATAATATAAAAAACTTTCATTTTAAGAAATAAATGCTCCTTTCAAAAAAAAAATCCCAAAAAACTGCATTTTTCCGACCGCCTGACTAGGTATAACTCCTTAACAAAAATAATATTTTTTTTTGGGATAGGGAGTCTTCTAGGTTTTTTAATTCCAATAGATCTCTAAATTTTCGATACTTTATTATTAAATTTATCATAATTTTATGATTAGTATTATTACCGAGGATGAAACAATTACTTAATTGTCATTCATTGATTTAGAAGATTCTATATTAATTTCCATTTTTTTTTCCTTTAAATTTTGGATATTTAATAAAGAATATTCGTCCATTGGCTCAATAACTTTACCCATTTTAGTTCTTAATGAGGGTATTATTAATTTGTTGTGGATTTTCTCTGGCACGAAATTTCTTCCAACAGGAGCTCGCATACTGGCTTCATAATCCTTAACATTTTTGAAAGGAAATGGTAATTCTGAGACTTGATGTTTTTTAATAGAACTATTACTTTCTTCATTAATGATAACATTTCCTTTATTTTCATCTTTACGAACAGTATTCTTGGGAAACTCCACTATAAATTTTCTTTTACGCCTAGTGGGCTCTTTAATGTTTGTACCACCCCATCTACCCCAACCTGGTAATATTAGGTTTACATCTTCAGATTTATTCACATTTACCTGAAAATAAAAGGAGTGCATTAATATTTATTTTATAAAACTACAGAAGATAAATATTATATAAAACGAACTATAGCTTCAAGAGCTACATTAAAGTCTGTTGTGAAACAAATTGAGCTAAAATAATAATATGATAAATATTTTTAGGAGAATTTATACCTGTAGAAAATGATTTTAACATTTAATTATAATTTTGAATTTCTCAGAAAATGAAAATTAATATTTATTTATATTTACTTTAACGTTATATTTGTTCTCTTGAAATTAATTTTAGTATTTATTAGTATTTATTTATTTACTTATTTATTATATCATCATTAACAATCGAAATTAATTTTTACTGTAAAATATTAATTATATATTATTAAAATTATTATGGTTATTTTCAAATGAAAAATTGAGGCTGAAAATCTTAAAAGGGCACACGCTCGAATTTGCATCACAAGTTTTGGCCTCTGGTTGTAAAATTTTTAAATTTTCAATGTCAAATTCCAACGATAAGAATCAAATGTTAAAACCTGATATTAAACAATTTCAAAATTTTAACTCCAGACACTAAAATTTTTTAAGCAAATTCGAGCGTGTGCTCTGTTTAGACCCGGAGCCTTAATTTTAAGTACTCAAATAAAAAAAGTAATTATGGTTTGCTATATAGTAAGTACTATGTTTATTATTGTATTGCACTATTGTATAACATTAACTTTTTAGTCTTTTTTATTTTAAATAATGATTGTTTTGCCTATAAAATTTTCATATAAAATTACAAATATTTTAAAAGATTAAATATACCTCTTCCTCTTTTTCCTTTCTAAAGTCTTCAACTAACTCCTCGTCAGAAAATGCCTCATATAATAATTGGTAACCATTTTCTTGTTTATCGCCATCGTTATCACATAATACATCACATTGTACCGCATTTTCATCAGGTAAATGTGACTTTAAATATTTTGTTTTCTTTTCTTTAGGCATATTTTCACTATTAGTTCGTATATTATCCTCTTTTTTATTTTCACTATCTACATTTTTAACAGTGTCTTTATTACATTTTCGTTTCATACGTTTCGTTTTGTTGTCCTTAACTCTTATTTCATTATCTCTTAAAGAAACCAAATTGTCAACATCTCTTTTTCCACAACTATCTGTTGAATTGGCTCCTAGATGATCACAGTTGGTAACTGTCCATTTGGATGTTCCGATTACACTGCTGTCTTGAGAAGTTAAACATTTATTCAATTTTAACGATGCGCTAGTTTCCATTCCAACACTTGACTTTTGATGAACTTTATTAGGAGTAACAGACTTATCTCCAACTTTATTTTTAGAAGCTGTAAAATAAAAATGATGTAACATATGTACATTCAGTTAGTTCAACATAAAAACTTTTTCTACATAAAACTAGAATAATCATAACACAGAATTTGAAAATTTAAACTTAACATCATATTGATTTTAGTCATTGGTTTCATCTACATTAATATCACTATGTAATTTCACAGTACATGAATCTTTTTAAAGTAACCTTTTAAAAAATGTGTTTAGAGGAGTATCTCCGGTTGTGAGATGGGTTTTGTTTTTGACCTATAAATTGTACTCTCTAAATCTGAATTAGTCATATTTTACTGATTAGCAGTAGAAATCTAATAATTGACATAGCGAGAATTGAGCAATTGACAATTAGTAGAAATTTACTGATTCAATTAGTAAAATATCAATTACTGATTGAATCAATAATATAAATATATGGCGGCGGCCACAAAATCTACTGATTTAATAGTTAATTTTAAAGGTTATGTTATATACAAATTACTGATTTACATAAGTTATTTTCTATTGCTTGCATATTCACTAATTATATTAGTAAATTTCAAAAAATAACTGAAACTTCAGTTAAAATGAAAAGTACTGATTGAATTAGTAAAATTTCTACTGATTCAGATTTAGAGAGTATGGCCCTAAATAAAGAAAAAATATAACAGATTCCTTTTATTGAAACCTTGAGTGATGTTAGTCGCTTACTTGCAGACACTACAATCAACAGAAATGGACAATTTTTTATTCGAGAAAGGTATTGTGGAGTTTGGAAAATCAGCTAAGTTAATGGAATTGTCAACAAAATGTTTGAGGCTGTTGAAAACTCAGAGGCATGGATTTTCAAAAAACTGAAAGAGATTGTCTGTCCATCCTCGACACAGGAATCAATCATCAGGGCAGAGTTACAAATTTACCACTTTAAAAAATCAATTTTTATCTAATATCTTTCTTGTCCCGAAAGCTTATGGATCTTTTCAAATCATTTCGAATCTTAAAAAAATAAATACTTTTATTGACACACAACATTTCAAACTTGAAGATTATAGGACCTAGTCAAACACGTCAATATTTAGTACGCGATTCTCGATCCTTCATCATTCAGTTTCCTGAGAAAGAACGGTCTAATCTAAGTGCACTCTTGAACTCTATAACCAGCATGTAAAATGCAACATCACAGATTTTTGACAAATTTATTGGTTCAGTTGTAGCCTCTTCTCCTGAAATTAGATACAACTGGATTTACACGAAAGATTTCGAAAGACTGTAATGGTGGAAGTCATATATTAAATCTGGATATAGATTAAAGGACAAAATTATGATGTGCGCTCTAATAATTAAAAACTTTGATGAACCGGAAATCAACTTACTCGTAAGTCGCATAAATAAGAAATGTGATCATTACATTTCTTAGTAGAAATATCCTAGGCCCAAGGCGATATTGTAATATATTGTATTGATTGCTATTGTAATAGTACCGAAATGGCCTTTACAACCACAGTGCCCTCTACTTCAGTCTCTGGAAAAATCTTATTCTCGTATCCCAGAAACTATTAGGGAAGCAATGTCTAAACGTGGAACTCTATGAGAATCATTAGAAATTATGATTGGATTCTTGAGTCAGTCTACAATTTTAAGTTATGATACAGCAATCTACAAATATTTAACATTCTGCAATATGAAATCAATTAATATGTAAGATTCGCCTGTCTTTATAATAATAAAGGAGACACATTCTGTTCATTTCATAATTTTGTAATAAAAATATGTTTAATTAAAATCTCGAGAAGGAGGCAGGAAATACAATTGTATTATTGAACGAACTTATATAATAAAGTTCAATTTAGAGTGTATGAGCGCCTCCTCCGAATAGATCAAACCCACCCTCAGTGATACAATATTAAATGCCATTATCTGACTCCTCAGATATTTCTCTCTATATTAATTACGGCAAGCTTTTTACTTTTATTTTTTATAATTGTAGTAAAACTGACTTAGAGTAGGGAGTCTACGAGTTGATCTATTCGGAGGAGATGCTCATACCATTTCAATTGAACTTCACTACTTCACTACTAATACATACAGTGAGAAAAAAAATTTAGTGTTTGCGACAAAATTGTTTGGTTAGGCAATTTTGGTTCTTGTAACCAAATTTTGGTTGGCTGAAACAAAGTCGTAGAGTTATCTCAACCAAACATTTGGTTAGGCCAACAAAATTATTTGGTTGAACATTTTTAAATTCCAACCAAAATTTGGTTATGACAACAAAATAATTTGGTTAACACAACAAAATAGTTTGGTCTAAAAAACCAAATGATCGTTTGTTGTCCTAACCAAAATTTGGTTGCGAAAACCAAATAATTTGATTCGCTCTCAGCTCATATCTTAAGAGAACAGTTAGTTTAAATCTCTCACAAGGATGGGTAGTCCAATGGTCAGTGCTCCCGACCTTCAGTTTTAAAACAGAGGTTCGATCCCAGGCGAAGATGAGATTTTTCAAAGTCTACAAATATTTCAATTGGATAAATATAAATTCAATGTTAAATTGATAATAAATAAGTAATGAAATAAATAAAAAAGATAAAAAGAAAAGAAATAAGGTAGAATAAAATTTTTAATTTTACAAAAAAAACTGTTTGTTTGATCAACTAAACATTTTTGTTGAATTAACAAAAAAAATTTAGTTGAGCTAACCAAACCTTTTTTTTATGCCAACAAAAAACACTCAACCAAATTTTTTGGTTGACACAAACAAATAGTTTGGTTGCTTAAATACCAACAAAATTTTTTTGTTGGCCCAACCAAATCTTGGTTGCTCTGACTAAACATTTTTCTCAGTGTATAAGGTTCTTATAAGAGGAACGCCAATACATTGTGAAATAAATATAAGGGACACCTAATAAAAAGCGATCAACGATGTTTGGTAAATTCAGAGTTTACAGATATATCCGAATATTGAACTGCATAATTGAACAATGTTATTAACATTACTTAACAAATATTCCGTATCCCAACTATTCAAAAAGAAAATTTAACTTTCCTAGCGATGCGGAAATTTAAGAATTTTTCTAAATTCGACAATAACAAATTAAATTGATGCATATAATCTATCTGCTCTGCATAGGTAATTGTAACTAATTTCGGAAAAAGTTTTGATAGTCCAGAGAAAGATACAACATATTTTGATTTTTAGATAAAAATATTGTAGACAAAAATCTGAATATAATATTAAACTTTTTGAGAATTATTATAATTATTTATTAACTCCATAAAAATAGTTAAATTAATTACACATACAGAGTTGTATCACTTCTATTATATTCCAAGAGTAAATTTTAAATAAACCAAAATAGAATTATGATACATCAGTGAAAGAACTATTGACAATCGGGTGGTCCCCTAAAAAGTTAAGACTGAAACCTAAAAGGTTTATCATTATTTCATGCTTTCATTAAAAAAAATGTTGATTTCAAATGTACCTGTAGATTTTATAAGACTTACTATTTTGTAATTTATTTTCATCTATTTCAAAAGGCAGTACTTCATTTGTTTTTAATTTACTCTTCTGTTCATTATCCCAATATTTACGATATTGACTTATAAATTCATCTACTTCAGATTCTGACTTCACATTATTAATCCATGGATTTTGCGAAAAACTTGAAGGAATTAACCCAGAAATCGTGTCTTTACTAACATCATCAGTATCTTCATTAACTACTGTTTTCTGAGTTATATTTCGACCAATTGACAGCTGTCTAGATAATTCTTGTCGACTCTGAAAAAAGATTACTTATAGAAAACAGTAAAAGAAAGTATGTGATCTTTATTTGCACATGGGGTAATATCATAGTTTAGCCCTAGGGGTGAGTACTTTAACTATGAAGTATTGTTAGGTTTTATCAAAAGCTGTAGGAGGATGATGATAATAATAATACTTTTAATACTGTATATTAAAGTTTTGTAATTCGTTTATTGTAGGAAATCGAGTTGCTGCGGATATTGAGTGGCTTGAGACATAAAATAAAACAATTTGAGTACTATATCGAAAGTGGAAAAATACTTTTTAACAGTAGATAGCATTTATTAACTGTTAAAGATCTATCGGTTCCAGAGTATATACAAAAATTATTGGCCCTACGTGTTAACAGAGGACAATATTTGGTATGGAAATAAATAATTGTTAATAAAATAATTAATTTTAAAATAAAAATATAAAATAAATAATTAACTAATAAACAAGGTGTTCAATTCATGACCATTTAGCTTCCTCATCATGATACACTAATATTCAAGATTAAAAGAAGGATTACAACTAAAATAGCGATAAATTTTACAAATATTGGTAAAATGTAAACTTTACACACATCAATCGATTCGTTTTTATACCAGGAATACGGTTTTGACAAAATTTATTAAAAATTTTCATGAAAAAAAAAATTATTTCAAAGACTACGAAAAAATTTTTTTTTTCAAAAATTAAAAAATGATATAATTTATAGATTTTCAGTAAACCATAGACTTTATATAGATTAATCAATACGTTTTAATGCGAGAAATCAGTTTTTTGGATAAAAAATAATATTTGCAGTGTAAAGAAATTTTTGATAATAGATAAGAGTTATATCCTTCCATAGTTTGTTTAGTGTTTGTATAATATATGATCTTGGGAAAGTAAATTTGAATAAAATTCAAAAGTGTGTCGTTAAATTGGCGACGTTTCGTTGGCCAATATTTACAATCGAATCCCCAAGGTTTCCTTACCTTTTAACGAAAAATATTTTTTCAAGTTGTCAAGTGTTCTTAGAGAATTTCATTGTACTTCTATTCCCCTTGTTAATAAAAGTTCCAATTCTATTGTAAAATTGGGTAAAGATACGACCAAAAAATGGGAAAGAACAAATGTGGTTTATAAGTTTGATTGTAAAGACTGCCACGCGACATATATAAGAGAAACGAAGCGATCGTTACAGACTCGCATCAATGAACATAAAAAAGTCAATGATAATTCTGTAGTTTATAGACACAGATCGGCCTTCAACCACGATTTCGATTGGAAAAAAACAAAAATATTGGATAATGAACCTAATTTTATAAAAAGACGAATATCTGAAATGCTTCATATAAAAACAAATCGTTCTACTATTAACCGGAAGGAAGATATTTTCACCTTAAACAAAACATTCTTTCCTTTACATAGACACATGGACTCGTGTCCATGAGAAAGAACTTGTCTCTCATTTCAAACGATGTTTACATTTCAGCTCATTGACTTCTCTTGTATTTACAAATATATTATCTTGACTCTATAATTTCAATAAATTCTAATTTCTTTTTAGTTGACAGTGAACTGTCCGTCTAATATGACTTCCGTATATTTGAAATTTTATTTCTATAAGTGTGGAACGATTTTTTCAGTTTTTATATTTTATTTTTTAACTTTTTATAATTCTGACAATGTTTAATTTATTTTGACGTGTTAGCATATGTTCTAACTAATTTAGGTATGTCATTGTTGATAACTTACATAAAAATAAGCACTGTCGGACCTTTATAAAAATTGAAGTGTAATCTATATGTTTTAATAAAAAATTTCTAGCCTGATGAGGTTGGCAAACCTTGGCCAACGAAACGTCGCCAATTTAACGACACACTTTCGAATTTTATTCAAATTTACTTTCCCAAGATCATATATTATACAAACACTAAAGAAATTTTTGTTAAAAAAACGTATTTTCGAAGTTTTGAAAAAGTGACATAAAAAAAATTTTGTGGATATTTTTGGAAATTCTTGTGCCTGATTTTAGGTATTGATGACTGTAATAAGCCTATAAAATTTTAGGACAATCCATCGAAGTGTATTAGAGATAATTTGTACACAAGATTTTGTGACATACACACACATACATCCGGACATTTGTTTAAAACTTCAAATGTATGAATTCTAGATAACTATATGCATATTGCCCAAATAACACATTTTTAAACAATCGAAAATCGTCACAAATACAAAGCTTCCTCGTGAGGAGAGGAAGCAAAACAATGTTATTTTGAATTTATCACTCGGCAATATTAAATAATAAAAATAAATATAATAAATAAGTTCTATAACTTTTTATTTTCCTCCAGAAATAACCCTCAAATTTAAAATTCTTCTATTAAATGTTTTTTTATTTTTTTTCATTTACCAATTTTATTTATTTCATATAAACGTTTCAACAATATTACATGAATTATTAGAAAGAAATTATATTTGATAGAAAATGAACATAAAATTTTGACATTAGTTTGAAGAAAGCCTTTTAAGGAATGTTAGAAAATAGAAATATTTTTAACTTAAGAGTTGTTTTTAGGGGTTGTGACAAATGTAGCTGAAGCAAGAAGACTAGAGACAGGAGTAACTTCGCTTGAGTCCTATAGACACCCCGGAACGACTTGCCATGCGATTAAAGGTGAAAGTATTTAGTTGTCCTGTTTTCACTACAGTGGCGCGCAAGGCGATACTTAATTGAAATGCGCAAGCGCAAGCCATTTTTGAATTTGATGTATTTGCTTCTCGAAACTGATTTATACGTTTTCGTTGTTCGCAATTATTATTTGTTATCCATTGTTCTTTGACATATCCAAAGTGAAATGAAGTGTTTGAGTGTTAATCAGTGCAAGGTCGATGGCTGTGGAAATCGAAAAAGTGGGAAAAATAAAGTGTCCATACACTATTTTCCAAAGAATGAAAATAATGGTGTGAAATGGGTACAAGTTTGTCAAAATGACATATTAAATAGTATGGACTACAAAGATATTGTAGCCACAAAATTATTTATATGTCATAAACATTTTGAGGAGAATTGTTTTTATAAATGCTCGAAAGGGTTTCGCTTAAAAAACGATTCACATCACACTTTACATTTAGCGATAATAAATGTTTTGCCTTCCAGTGAAGAGGTAAGTTGATTGTTATATATATAATTTTATTATTAACTATAATACAATTTCATTTAAATAAAATAATTTTAAAATGTGTTGAAAATTATATTCTGAACTTACTAATTATAATGTTAAACTTCAAAATAGGAAATAATGACATGTTTTTAAATTCATTGCTAAATATTGACATATATGTTATTGTTATTGTTCATTGTTAAAATCTGTATAATCAATTACTTGAGTTGTTGTCATTTTCAGGACGATCCTGTAATGGAGCAAGTTCACTCACCAACGTTGACTGATACTCCAAAAATGAGTGATTCCAATGACAGAAAAAGAAAAATTAATATGGTTTCTGGACTGACGAGTAATGTAGAATATTCACCAAGAAAAAAACAACTAATTGAAATTATTAATTCTTCCAGAAAAGAAAATTATAATATGAAAAAGAGAATTGGAAGCTAATCTTTTTCAAGTAAATAATATTTCAAAATTTATAAATTATAAAAGCTTTATTTATTCCTAAGTTTAATAATTTTAAAATTATCTATTGAAATGTTAAATTTTTCATAAATATTTATCAAAATTTTAATTCTAAAATTAATCAATTTTAATTAGTTTTAATTTCATAATTTAAGAATACTTTTTAAAATTTCTTTTATTATAATACTGTTTTATTATTTTATAAATTCTTTTTATTTATACTGACTTTTTTTATTTTCTCTTAAAATAATGTTTTTTGTTTTTTTAATTTTAATTCTAATTATACGACTGTTTTATTATTTTATTTTTTTTATTTATACTGATTATTTTTATTTTTTTTAATACTTTTTTTGGTTTTTTTAACCCATTTTTTATTTTATTTTTTTAAAACAATATTACAGATGCAAAAGAAAAATAAATATGATGGAAAAAGATTCGGAATCATCGGAATTTTTGAAGATGACAAGAAAGTTCAGCAAAAGTCAAAAATTATTCATTGAAATGGTAATGAAAAATAATGATAAAAAATCTGAAGGTAGACGATATTCCACAGAGGAAAAAATACTTGCTCTATCAATTTACAAGACTTCTCCAAAGGCTCCCTGCTTGACATCTTGTTCCGAATGTATGAAACTTTTGAATTCTAATTGTAACACAATTTCAGTTATTTTTGGTATTCATGCGGACTTATCAGGTCTTCTCCAGAGGATCATGGTGTCTATTTACGCACAAAATAATATTTGTGCCATAGCAGTGGAATACGTCAAAAAAGAAATCAGATTAGAAGTTTTTACATGTAGAGTGATAGGGAAATTGTCATTAATAATTTTTTAACTTTAAGCATATACGTTGCACTATTTCTTATTTAAATAGCATCATGAAAGGATCTTATCGCTTTTTAAATGAAAGTGTCAAAGAAAAAGAAAAGAAAAAAAATACATTCGTATGCCAAGCAATTGAGAGACGCGATAAAGCCTTAAAATCTAAGCACACATTATCAACTTTATCAAGGCAAAATAAGTTTTTGGCTTCTGAATTGCAAATAGTTCTTTAGCACTTAAATGCCTCTACTTAGTTTATTATTGCCTTAGGATATAAAAACAAATCTAGTCATGTCAAGTGCATTTAAATATTATGCATATAATCAAGCATTGAATTGCTTCATCCTACATGTTTATTTAATTTTTTTACGAGAATTAAAAGTAAATAAAATTATATATTTATTAAATATGACGAATTTTTCTATAAAGCATTTACATGCTTCAATTTTTATTATTTTAGTACAATTTGTTATTGTCTTAAAAAATAAAGATTTTTAAGGAAACGTCAAAGACAACAAAATATATTTAGTCAAAAATTTTTGACTCTATA